ACAGTAGTCTGAATATATATATATATATAAAACCACTAAACACACGTTTTCACCACCTCTTATCTAACTATTTATTACAGAAACGTTTTTTCCCCTGTATATAATATATTTTATCACTGATATTTGTGTCTACTAAATGTGTTGTCATAGATTTTAACTTTATTGTTTTAGATTTGCTTTAGAACATAAATAAAATTGACTTAATCAGCAACTCAAAACATTACATTTTAAACTCAACCATCTTCATATTGTAAAGCAACTCTTTTTTACTACTAATATATATAATATGTTTTGAGGTAAATACTTTAAAATCTATTTCTGCAAAATTCTATGTCATTCAGTTCATTGAATGCTAATAAAAAAGAAACAAATAATTAAAAATTAATCAGCCTATAACCTAAAATATACATTTGAACACATTTTACATTCTAAAGAAACTATTTTATTATTAGTTATTATCAGCGTACATCTAAAGAAACTATTTTATTATTAGTTAATATCAGCGTATAAAAAAATGTTTGTTTACAGTAATAGTCCTGAGGAGTGATGTTGTATTGTATCTTTAGCAGCATCTCAAAGCAAAATTATTTATATGGTTAAATATCCTTTACTCAATAACAATCCACAGTAATATCAGGTGTCATTTAAACACAGATTCCTTTTACATTAAAATTGTATAAAACGTCACATTTGTAAAAATTAATTTTTCATTCAGTTCCTCCACATGTGTACATATATAATTTATGAAGTGACATATTATTAATGTAGATTTCAAATCATCTTCTAATTTATTTTATTTATTATATTCCTGTTAAAGAGACCAAGTAAAAAGATCGTAAAATATAAAGTAAGTAGTAAGAAGTACATTTCAATTTTTCTCTGTCAAGAAAAAACCACAACAAAAAGCAAACCCAGCACCCGAGGACTTCCACAGTCCCATGGCCTCTGTGAAAATGACCTCAAACATTTCCTCTCCCACTAAATCTCCCTGATCTGTTCAAAATCCTCAAACACACAGTGAACAGAACTCTGCGCTCCTCCGAGCAACAGGTGCAATATATTTCTTTTCATACGGGTGTTGCGTGTCAGACCCTCTTTGAGGATTGGGTTTCGTCCAGACAGTGAGACAGCTAAAGGAAATCTTCTCACACGCGACAATTCACAGCAGAAACTGAGAGTCCTGCCGCCCGCCCAGTTAAAGCTGACCCTTGTCTCCGTTCATTTCCTCAATGGCCACAAAGGGAGGCCATCAAGCAGCTCCGAACTCCCCGTGTGCGGCCACTGACGTCAGCTCGTTTGTAAGCAATTACCTGCAAATGTATGGTTTGCTTTTATATCATGCTGCACACATAAAGTTCCTTCCTACAAAACAGAGGCTGCGGAACATGAAGTCTGGCTTAATTTAGAAAAGAAGGGCTTTCCCAGGGTCAGCGTTCAGACAAACAGGGCATTATGTCATGGAGGCAAAAAAACAGTACAGTACAGTAGAACAGTAATATGAGAAAGGACAAGGGGGAAAAAACTCCTTAGAAACTCATGTAGCGTTGTCTGATACCTTTTTTTAAATAATGTTTTTATGTTATTTTCATTTGTGATTCGCTGATACCAGGTACAGAAAATACAACACAGCAATTTAAATAATGTTTTTATATTATTTTCATTTGTGATTCGCTGATATCAGGTACAGAAAATACAACAGCAAAAATGTGGAAAATGGTGATGACATCACAGTGAGAACACCAACCAAAATGGTTACAGTTAAGTTTTATTTTCTTCACATTATCATAAGATTATATATATCCAAAATTAAAAAAAAAAATCAAATATTGCTGCGTTAAAAGAGTGATGTTGATAAGACAACATACCAATAAAACTACAAAAAGAATAAACACAAATTATATTTAAAAAAAATCCTACAGTGGAGGCGTAGCTTAGCATAGCATGTAGCCCATGGCGAATCGCCTGTGTATTCAGACGTGTTGTTAGCACTTTACCAACCAGTAACATGTATTTTAACTCCGCTTAAAATACATTATGTGTTTGTGTTATTAGCCTCCACAAATGTCTTGATTGGGTGACTTTCTTGTTTTTTAATATCTGGCCCTAACTGAATAATTGGTTCACCCGGGAAACACCATTAAGATCGGTTTGTGTCGCCCCCCCCCCTGTCGTAAAATGGACTGTCCCATCCTACTGCGCAGGTGCAGGCATGAGTAAGGAAGACGGGAGCAAAACAAACTTGTTTGGCGCGGTGTCGAAGAAATCGAAGTGGAGTTGTTCCAGCGGAAAAGACAGAGAAAACCTTTTTTATTTAAAAAATAAGATTTATTTAATAAAAAAAGGTAGTGTTTCCACCCTTTTTTATTTAAAAAATAAGATTTATTTTTAGATAAAAAAAAGTAGTGTTTCCACCACAACGTCGCACTTTATCAACTGCCGTCAGTGTCAGACCGGTATGGACCGGACCAGTCTCCGCCACAAAGATGTGAGTAAGAAACCGTTGAAAAACTAAATTAACGGTCAGTTTGAGTAACGTTATTAATTATTGGCTTAAATAAAAGTTCAATACTAAACTGTCATGGTTGACGTATTACTGTAAGAAATGCCTGAATGTTAGATTACAGGTAATTATTTGTGTCAATATTGTTTCTCTCGTGTATATTATGTCTAATTTGTGCTACTTTTTTGTAACTGTCTTTTAATTTAAAACAAAGTGAGACGTCACAGAGTGCCTGAATGTTTGCTGTGTTTTGCTCTTACTTGTCAAAGTAGCTTAATTTAAAGATGTCAGAAAAAAAATAATCCAGTAATCCTGGAGGGATTTAAATGACTAGATCTGGTCATTTAAATCACTTTTTACCTCCTGGAATCTCTGGAGGATTAGACAGAAAGTAACGGCACGGGAGAGAGAGAGATGGAGAGAGACAGTGTCAACATTTTCTTGAATATCTCAAAAAAAAACATTTATAACTGTGACCTTTCACTCTTGACCTTAAAAAAAAAAACAAAGTTAATCCTCACATCATCCTGAGACACATGCCTAGATACGCAGGTGAAAATAAATTAAATAGAGGCTACGACCCCCTCTGCTGGTTAGAAAATAATTAGCAGCCACCCGCACAGCTTTTCTAGTCAGAGTTACAGTACTATTAGTTTTAAAAAAAGTAAAATTCTAAAAATGTTTTGATTCAATGGGGAATATTTTTTGGATGTTCAACAAGTTCAGGCAACACAGTGGTATGGTGGTTAGTTGTTCTGCCTAACAGCAAGAACAGCCACTGTTTGATCCCTGGTGTTAACAGATGGTGCATGATTTCCGTACGTGTGTGTTTTTGTGTGTACTCAGTTCAAACCCATCCATGAGTTTTTCTGTCATTTAGTAGAACCTGCACCTACACTTCTTCTTCCTCGTTTCCATTACCCCTGAGATGCGCCCCCTAGCGGAAACACGCCTTACAGCACTCTAGAATAATCACTGACATATGTGTTAACACAGCAAAAACATCTGTAAAGATAACTAATGTTTTTTTTTTTTGGTGATCAGATTAGCACAGAAGAAAATTCACCCCGCCCCCTAGTGTTCAAAGGAATGATAACAAGCCCAATTATCATTTGGTGACAGGTTTTATTTTGTGTTTTTTTATAAACAAAGTCGGCGTTTTGTCTCGTTTGCTGTTGTTTTGCTCGTTAGTAATCCACCCTACGCCCCCCCCCCCTCCCCTCCCCCCCCTGTTTCTCTGCTGGTCACAGTTGGACCTGCTGCTCTGCACCAGGTATGAGAGTGACTCTTCAAAGAGCAGTGGAGAACAGAACCACCGTTGTTTTCCTCCGTTCCACCGCCGGAGCGTCTTCTAATGAGACAATTAAAAATGATTTCCTGGACAGCAGAGGCAGAGGAGAACCGCAAATACTTTGTACCGCGATGGCGACGGCTTTTATGTTGATTAATTGGTCACACGGGGAACGGCTTCAACATGAAGGAGCTCTATATATAGACGGCGATCAGTTTTACCTGTCAGTAAAATATCCTCCTAGAACTGCAGTAGTAGATGGGATGTGTACTGTAGTACGAGTTTCGCTCTAAAAGAAAAATATTTGCACTATTGTCAAGCTCAGTTGTTGGAGGGAATGTGTTCACTGTAGCTGTAAATGGAACATGTTTAACCAGTGGGACGTAAAAAGACCAGTAAATGAAATATAATTAAACAACTGTTGTCACGGTGACGATGTGGAGGTGATTTTTAAAAACATTTTTAAGGCCCAATATTTGGTTTGGAATTAGGATTAGAATTAGGGCCAGATTAAAGTAAGGATCAGGATTAAGATAAAGGTATATATTTAATATGATTCTAATTATGTTCATTAGTCCTAATGAGACCAGAGTCCTTCATTTAGATCGTTAGTCTGAATGATGAGTTAATTAGAGTTAATGGTTGAGGTGTGAGTTGGTGCAAATTAACATGATCAATTAGAAATTAAATTTATTTTTAAATTAAAAGAGAATAAATCACATTAAACTGCTACGGTGCAGAGAGACTTTGTGTTGGTACCGTTGGGGTCGCAGGGACACTTTGGTTCCAGATTGGAGTTAGGATTATTAGTTAGATTAAGATTAGTCAGATGTTTTTAATAGTTAAAAAGTTTTGTTTAAGAAACTGTGGAATGCATCGTGACTGTGTCCAAAAACACACAGGTCCATGTTCCTTTAGGGCAACCGTATGTGTTCATGTAAAAAAAAGTTTGAATTTGAACGTTAAATGAAGTAAAAGAATATAAACAAGTTCAAATGAAGTCCTGACACAGAACAGACTCCATGACTACATGTCTCTGTGATAGTAACCATGATAATAATACTAATAATTACAGTGCAGTCACCCCCCCCCCTCGTGGACTGGACTGCTTTGCTGTCAGTCAGACGCTGCTTCATCTCCAGCTCCAGTGAAGAGCGGAGCTGCTGTCAGTCTCACACACACACACACACACACACAGACAGATGTGTAAATCATCTCAGGTGTGTGTGTGTGTGTGTGTGGAGTCCCGCTACACTCTGCGTGACCCTCCGCTGTCAGCTGCCTCCGCCTGCTAACGTCTGTGGATGACTGAGATTGAGTCAGTCACACGGGTCGTTCAGGAGCAGTTCCCACATAATGATTCGCTGTTAATATTAGATTTCACTCCCCACGGGATTGTCACACTTAGAGCAGCCGCAGAAAATTACCTGCCAGCTCCCTGACAGGGGAGAGAAAGCCGTATTTATTTATACCCCCCCCCACACCCCTTTTTACACCTCGACATCCCTTTAAAGAGATAATTATTCTGAAAGCAATATTCAGATTCAAACTTCACCACAGATGAATGTGTCTGAATCACACTGTTTAACAGCAGTGGTGGGGGGG